TTGACATAGAATATTTGAAGCCCATTAATCAAATTCAGCCATCAGTTGCCTGCTGGTTTGCTTTTATAGAGCCACTTCCTTTTAATTACAAGAAAAAGTTTCGATATGGGATTGGATGTCCGCTGGTATTTTGTCCACTTCCTTTCAAGTTTCATTTGATTTTAGTTCCCAAATAAAGTAAAATTAAAAAACTCACCTCAGTTTTTTATTTATTAGAAATTTTTAAATTTAATTTAAATTCACTTCATTATTAACATAATAATGTTAGACATCATTTTCTATAAACTCTAAAGATTTTGATTTTAACAAAGTAAACTATTTTAATATATTAATTGTTAAGTTTTGAAGCATCGAGATTAATTATATAATAATGAATCTAAATAACAAAAATGAATTTGTATTTACTTTGAATCCGACTCGACCTCGGTTCCACCCTTTGACCTTTGATCTTTTATTTTTTTCTAGGTCGATGCTTAGGTCAATTTTTAAAACATTGGTAATTTTATCCTTCATGTCAAGATAAACTTAGTCCTTGTTTGAGCCCCATTTTGGGAAGAAAATGTATTTTTAAATAGTATATTGATGGGAAATGTGTGGTAAAAAAATAAGAAATTTTTTTGATTTGTGTGTAATATTATTTTATTGAAAAATGTGTGATTCAAACGATGTCAAAACACTTTTTAAGAATACGTTTTTTTTAAAGAATAGAGTTCAAACAAGGGCTTATGCTACATGTATTTTAATTTTATTGTGGTTCTTGAATCAATATAAACTTATGCTACATGAATTTTTCTCCCTTTTACTTCATAAAATTAATCTAAAAGTATTGTTATATTTCGCAAAAAATAAAATGACTACATCGCGTCGAGCTCCACTCCTCAAATGTTTTTGTATTTCAAATCAAAAATGTTATATGACCTTAAATACACGATGAAAGCAGATCTTGAAAAGAATCATTTCTACAATCTTATTAGGGTAGAAATTTGCACATGGAATCATTCGTAGATATGATTGAAATTTTGGACGGAAAGGTCTTATCATTTAATAGAATGAAAGAACCTTAATTCATAGGTAAATTATTTGTTCAAAAATTCTTCAAAAGTACAGAAAATTTTTGCCAGATTTTTGAATTCTCACTCACATGAGAGTGGGCCCGTGTGTAAAATATTGAAAAAAAAAATTCCCGCCTTTGAATGTGAGTGTTCGATAGGTACTGAGATTTAAATCCCTGTACCTATAGCAAGGTTCATATTTGTTTCATTAATAAGGATACTTTATTATCAACTTCCTTGTCAACAAGTATCCTTATAGATATGATTGAAATTTGTGAAATCTTACAAAAATTCTAGATAGGGATGGCAGCTTGTCTATTCGTGGGCTCAGCTTGACTCATTGATTACTACAGCCCGTTTTTAGAAAAACTATGGATTAAGTCGAGTTCAAATTTTTTTCATGAGCTGGCTCGTATTTTTCCTCATTTTTGAACTTCTTTTATTTCTATATTAAACAATACTCATTTTGGGCTTATTTTATTAATTATTTAAAAGAAAATTACCCGGCACTACTCATGAGAACCACAAGCCAGAGGGCTGAGCCGATTCTAGAATTTGGACAAAAGCAAAGCCCGGCTCGTCTATAGGGTCAAGCTAGCTGGAATCGATACATTGCTACCCTAGCTTACATAAGGAAAAAAAGTGAAGAATGATGAATCAAAATTGAGATGACTCTCATATTTAAAAAAAAAAAAAAAAAATCTTAATTTCCTCCCATAAAGAATAGGTCAATACTAGAAATAGAGAGTTTTTGTAGATTGTAGTAGAACTGGTAGTACAAATATTAGAATGATATAAATGCATTGTCAAATGAAGTATAAGAACCCCCTTAAAAGTTTTCGACTACCTCACCGATCCACCCATCTCATGCCCCAATTGATATTTAATTTTTCAACTAGAATTCTATGTATTTAATGTCACAGGACAATGTAGTTTGATAGGAACCCAATTTCTACAAAAATGAAATGTTAAAATTTATATGGGGCCAAAAAATCAGTGCTAGAGACCTACTTTTTATGCTTAGCATTAATTGAGTACCTTATGTAGTAGATCTCTTTAATTATTAATAGTTTTCTCCTTGTAGGCAACAGCTAATGAAACTAATTTTTAAATTTATAAAAACATTTGTTTTGCTTTTGTGTCTGCCTCCATAATTCCTACAGCCCCCTGCCTTCCCGGCTCTTGGTCTGCTGCCCTTTTCTCCACAACAGCCAACAAGCACTGCCATTTTTCCATTCACAACGTTGCATATACACATCCATAGAAATTCTTGAAAAAACAGATCAAGATCACGAATACGAATACGAACACCTTGGAAATACATCAATTTAAAATTTTAAGAATCTATATATTATTATTTTTTATTTTTGTACTTTTTAATATAGAAGACTGCACATTGCATATTGTCTGACAAATGTTTCTAAAGTTATCTTTTGAGTTTAAAGAATTTAAAGAACATGGCATGTGACTCATTGGATATATGCAACATAGTATTTAAGGAGTGTTAATGCATCATAAGTCACCATTTCGCAGTGTCTCGATAGCAACACACAACCTTAGTAGAAATTTCAGTGCATCATAGGCCACTATTTTGCACTCTGACAACAGTCTCGGCATTCTCCTTCTTCTTCTTCAATCTAGTGTAGCCATGTAGCAAGTTCATTAGCAAATTACTAAATTTCCTTAGTTCCTCTTATTCTTTTATTCATAAATAGTAAGTTCTGTATACACTGTTTAAAAGAAAAGTAAATTTTAGTTTATATGCGTTTTCTTTCACTGGTAGTAGTGTTATAAATTACAACTTGAGGTTATCTTAGAACATGAAGCTCTCACTTCTCTAGTTCAAACATTTTACATTCAAAATTGAAAACTGAAGATAAAATATATGAATTCTATTTAAAATATAAACATAAAGTAAAATATATAAATATTTTAATTTTGAAGATTTTTATTAGACATCCATAACATTTCTAGTCTCCATTTATTTATTTATTATTATTATATATTTATTTTTTTATGTATCAATATGACAACATGCGTATATCGACCTTTTCTCGTACTCGTGCTTGTTATCAGAAAAAATAGTTATTACTTGGCATATTAGATTTTTCCCAAGAATACGAAGTGAGAATGCATGTGTTAACTTGTTTTCTTCATTTAAATTGGATGAGTCGCAATCGAAATTTGACACCTAGACAACCAAATCTGTGACAAAGATTTGATTGGGAATTCAAAAGTCGAGTCAATTCCCATATGCAACTTGGTCTCCCCATCCCATTTCATTTTAAGATAACATTTATCATCATTTAAATATAAGAATAAAGTAGCTCATTTGGTCAATATATATATATATATATATCTGCTAAGCAATATGATTTAGCTCATATTAAGCAAATGATGATATGACATATCAATCAACAAATTAAATTTAATTCTGGTATCCACCGAACATCAACTTATCAACCAATTAATTGATATGTCTTTTCAATGTTGCTTATTATAAACTATGTAACGGTACTTAATAAATCATTTCTCAATTTAAATATTAAAAAATGAATTTCTTGTATTTCGAGTTTTATTTTGACTATAGTTTGCAACGATTATTGTATTAAAATTATTGTGCCATCAAAAAATAAGAAGAAAACCAGTAATTAACATATAAAAAATTATTCTAATCCTTTTAATAAAGTAAAAAAGTTGATCTTTTAAGATGAAATCAATGACCGTCTAGCACAAATTAATTTGTTATCAATCATCATAGTCAGTCTTCTAGAAATTCTTTCCTCTTTATGTTTTATATAAATCAGTAAACTCATTATTGAAAATATTATCCCCTCAACAACTAGAAGAAGAAGATCATCTAATCAATTACGTTAAACATGAAGAAAGCAGAAACGGTGGTGGCAACAGCTGGGCCTGCGGCAACATTGCAGGTGGAGGATTCAAGGTTCAAGCTCAAGAAGGGAAGTGTTTTTCCAGCAACGAGGAGGTCAGTGAAGAAGATGATATTTGATGATATTGTTCATTCTATATTTTCATGCTTTGGTTCCTTCTTCAAAAGCCATTACCCATAGTGTACTAATAGGTTGCATCCTTAAGAACGCTATTTCATGTGAGGGACATTGCTCTTTGTTCCATGCATGTACATGTAAGTGTTCGTGATCATAAATAAACTGGAATCTTTACATTTTTGCCTCGACATGCATGTCATCGAATTTTTGAGAAATAGATATGCCCGGTGTACAAAAAAAAAAAAGAATGAATTTGACTTAAAGATAATGAACATAATAGTACAAACATATTATCCCATTTTAACATCTTACTCCTCTAAATAATGTGATCATCACTCTATATATTTGAAATTACAATAACAAAATTTGTAAAGTAAATTACAACATTCATATCCAGAAGGTTATGAGAAGCGTTTAGACTTGGAAACAAATCATGAAAATTGACACAATGAGTAACGTAGCCAGCAATGACCTAGTACATGAGCAAACAAAAGCTACATCATGTGAGAAAGACACATGACACTATTAAAATATGTTTTCAAAAACTCAAAACACGTTTTTGTTAATGGAAAAACGTTTTTAACTTGCTGTCCACTTAGCACACAAGGATTGGCTTTTTTGTCTTCACCCGAATTTCGGTATCTTGGCAACTCATCTGGACCGTTGATGAAGATCAATGATTGTGGATCAATTGAAAAGGGGCTATAACGAGCATTTTCATAACTCAAATGCGCATGCTTTTATCAAGAGATTTTGGGTCTCACTCGTCTTTCTCTTCGTTTGACTTCTCGATTTGCCTTCATGAATCAAAGATGTAGCCCGATCAATGAAAGGTCGGCACGTTCTAAGAAATATTTTGATGAAAAGTGAAAATACCAAGGAAAAATATGGATGGCTGCATCTCATATTGATATTATACAATATAATTTTTGGAAGAGAGAGAGAGAGTCAAAACAAGCTCAATATTTTACAATAAACCCTTGGAAGAATCAGAAAGGGACATCATATTCTTAAACTCCTCAAAATCAAGAACCCCATCTGAATTTATATCAGAGACTTTAATCATATTTTTGCAATCCCCATTACAATTTTCCCATAACCCTAATCTTAATAACACACTTTGAAGCTCTTCAGATGATATAAATCCATCCCCATTTATATCAAAAACCTTAAAGGCCTCAAGCAAGTCACTTTCCAACCCGTCATATTTTCCTTCTTTATTTTCACTTATTTTCGGAAGTATTACAGACTCGTAGAAGAAGAAAAACTCAAAATAATCAAGAGTTGGTGATCCCACAAGTATCTGCAGCTCTTCTAGGGTTGCATGGTTTCCAACTCTATCAAGAAGTTGTTGCAGCTCAAAAATGCTCACGTGACCTTCCCTCTTTCTGTCGAGGCTTTTGAAAATCCGGTCGAGATCATTGGTGCTGAGACGAGACAAGAAATAACGAACTAAGTATTGTTCCCAATAAAACTTGGGGTCAACTCTAACTTCTGTATTGCTTAATTATGAAGTTTGTGTGTGTGTGTGTGTGTGTGTGTGTATTAAGGGGGATGCGTTTGAAAAGTAGATATTTTGAAGTTTAAGCTCAACTTCTTGGAAAAAGACGTTCTGTGAATCCTTACTATTTCAGAAAATGAGAAAATTCTTTAATTTGTATTTATTTATCGACCAATTAAATATGAGTTGAATTGAGAATGCCCTTTCGTTTTGATTTGGAGGATGAGTTTGAATGGGGAAAAACGAGTAAATGTCTTCTACTTGAGGGATTAAAAAAATAGAAATTCCTTTTTCCTCTCTTTATAGGATAATAACTGCATTTTCTGTATAAGGTATTCGACTAAATTAGACAATATAACATAATAAAGAACCAGTTTAGATGTACAGAAAAATTGTTTACAGAACTTTTACGGACAACGCACACAATGGGGTGGGCGGTTTATTTTTTACAATAAAATATTCACATGAGGTCCACTCTCATATGAGAGTTCTGTGAAACTTTTAGCAATTATTGTTCTGTACACATGGAATTACTCTATAATAAATAGGATTCTTTGTCTTCTCATTATTATCTACCTCTATATAATCTAACTTAAAAAACATTTTATTTATTGTTTCTCGTGAAAAGTAGGGTAAAGAATTCTGTCTTGGTTGTCGTAGAGTAAATAGCTCACGGATCAATGAGATACAATAATTTATGTTTTAATTTTAAGTACCAAGAGACTCTCTAAACACAAAATACTCTTTATTTTAAAGAATTAATACTTAAATATAAGTTTTAAGAGACTCTACTTTAACTTTTTAAAATAAAGGATTTAGAGAGTCAAACTCACACTCTATTCTTAATTAACAATAATTATATTTAGCAAGTTATAAATTTTAATACTCTACAATTTAAATTATTCAAATCATATTAAATTGATTGACCATTTACATATAAAAAAAATAAAGTTAAGTAATAGATAAGGAAAAATCAATAAATGTTAATTGGAAAAATAAAATAAATAGTCAAAATAGAGAGCATTGTTAGAATGCATAAAAAAATTACTCTCTAAATTTAAATACGTTCTTCATTATGCATAATATTCTATTTATAAATTGAGAGTCTGTTGGAATGCTATTAGGTATTTATACAAAAAGCGGAGAAATAATCTAAAACGAAAAATAGAAAAGTAACCTAATTGTAAATTCTTTCTAATATTTACGTTTTTACAACTATAAAATATTTGACAACTTCATAGCTTTTGAAATTGTGATCCTAGTACGATCAATAATGTTACGTCAAAAAAATTTCATCCAAACATGCCTTTGTTAAAAGTCTATATAGGACCATAGAGTCTTTAGTCTTTGTGGTTGTCTATGCCCTTGTTTGAGCCCAATTTTTCTTCAAAATACATTTTTCAACAAAAATTTGACATCATTTCAACCATACATTTTTAATAAAATAATATTACAAGTAAATTCAAAACTTTTCCTTATATTTTTAACCACACATTCTTCATCACAACACTATTTCAAAATACATTTTTTTTAAAAAAAATGGGATTCAAACAACTCCTATATCGTGACTCAATTAAATAAAAAGACCCAGTCATCTTGCGTATTCTAAATACTCTTCTCAAAAAATAATTTTTAATAGCAGCAAAGTGTACAAATTGTATTCAAAATACAAGTAGCTTATAGAGAAGTCAACTATTGTAATTTGAGGCAAATGAGTAGATACTTAATATTTTTATAATATGAAAAAATATTTAGGAAAATGAAGTACAATTACTTGTGCATAAGAATATTGATAGAAGATATCAATTTATTTTGTATTCTAATATACATTTTTTCTACAAAGCCATAATACTTCATAATATTAATGAATCGAGCGATTTGATTTTAAGAAGTAACAATTTATTTTTAGTCTAATCTACTTTCTTTTTTCTCTTTGGGAGGAAAATGTAGTTTTGCTGGCATATCGTCTTAAAGTAATTTATAATTAGTCTACACACATCTGTTTGTACATACACCTTTTTTACTTGTAGGAACAATAAATAATCGATATTTTTTGGACCTAAATTGGTCGAGATATTGTTATTACTATACATATAAAATGTCTATTTATATTGTTCGTATTTGTGCTTAATAAAATGTGTATTTATATTATTCGTATTTGTGCTTAAATACTAACATCATGTTTCAAACATGTCAAGCACGATGTTGTCGATTTTTTATCCCGTAAGTGTACGAATCGTAATAAGTAATAAAGTGCATTTAAAAGTTTGGATATCATTCCCACGAGGACTACTATTTAACAATTGGTTCAATTATTCCTAATTTTAATTTGATCGAAAACAAACAAAAAATTAGATGTGATTTTTGATGCAACTATTTGAAAGTATGTGGATACACACAAAGAATGATTGAGAATACAAATAATAAATGGATATTAGGGCGGGACATTGTCACCTATTGATTACCTTTAAATCTTAAATCAAGATTCATAAAATTTAAGGCAGTGTTCTGGTCAATTTCTCATATTGTATTCAATTTACCCATTTCGAGTTCTCATTGAGTCTTTTTAACTACCTTAATATCATATTTCTATGTGAATCGAACTTAATTAAACAAAATAATAGTTCTAAGAATTCATATATGACCATAGTAATTAATATAAATATCTGTACACGTTATATTAATTTATCGAATTTTAATATAAGGTTTAAAGAAAGAATCCGTACCTTTACGTAATTATTGTTCACGAATTATTGAATAATTGGCCAGAAAATTCAAAGCAGTGAGAACATAATTAAAATCAACATATATGCATGCATAAAGGAACTTGAATCTAGAATAAAAAAAATAAAGGGTCACAAAAGGTTACATTGTTTGCCCTAATAATAAATTTAATTATTCATGATGATGGAAGAAAAACAAAAGGTATAGAGTTCATAACTGGGTTTTGAAATCTTGATCATGAAAAGAATTGGATCTTGCACCAAGAATCTTCTTCAATCTTCAAAGTCTTAAATCCCTAACTTTTGCTCTTTGATCTTGCTCTCTCAATCTCAAGTTGCATATGTTTGCCTCTTAATGTGTGGAATTCCCCAATTGTCTTCTATAGGTTTGTATTTATATATTCTTCAAGTTTTGGAAGATTTTTAGTTGAGTTGGACTTTTAAAAAGATGAATTTCACTTGAAAACTCTATTTGATGGCAACGAGGTGCCTAGGCACTTTGATTGGATGCCTGAGCGCTGACTTTTGGGAAAAAAAAAAATCAGAAACGTAGCGCTTGGGCGCTGTCGTTTGCTTCGATTGTATTGCATAGCATTTAATCTTTTCATCATAACTTTGTCGTCCGTTGTTCAATTGAGGCGATTCAAAATGCGTTGGAAAGTTAACTCAAAAGGCTACAACTTTGCTTCAGATACTATTTTCAAATTTGATCATATGTTATGTCAAAAATGGGTCTTAATTTGAGTATGAAGAGATTTTGAGTCTCGTTGTCAAAATTTTTTGGTTGGAACTTAATATGTGATCGTACTTTGATTATATTTCATCATTTTGATGCCTTTCTTTATCCAATTGACTCTGAGCACTCTTAAATTTTCATCATGAGGTCCAACACAACTTTTTAGTATTTGCACTTTAGTCCCCAAAATTTGAATCTCTTATAACTTAGCCCTTTTTTTCTCCAATTTTGTCAACTTTTTCTTATTTCCTTCAATTTCTTGTACCATCATTGAATTTTACCTATCAACACCAAATACAATAATTTAGACCATAATTCATCCAAAAAACAACTAAATATCATGATTTTAAAGTTTTGAATAAGTGTATAAAATATACTTATCACACAACCACTATATTTTTCTCGTCAAAATGGAGACTCAATTTGGAAATAAATATGTAAGAAAATGACATTTTAAGCATGTAGGAATCTCCATTATATTTTACCATAAGCAGTTGACCTTTTACCAGCCAAAGATAAAAGAAGAAATTTAAAAGCTTGGGTAAAGGTTGAAATATTATAAATATACAACCGATATGACGAAGAATGTGTTCGATTTATTGCTAAATAATTGAGGGTTTCAATAAAATAAAATATTGATTTATCAATTTATAAAATAAAAAATGTATAAAAGAGAGAAGCATGCAGCCTGCATTCTCGCATTTTGATTATCCAAATCGTCCTGAAATACCGACTAGTTTCCAACCAAGTTGTCTTTCTTTTAATTTATTCTTAATCACTAATTACTTTAGCACTTCTTTCTTCTAAAGATGATTTTTGTCCAAATATTTCACTCAAATATTTTATCAAACTTTTATATTTGTTATTTATTTTTCTTATTTAAAACATGAGAGGTAAATAAATTCTTTTAAGTCATAGTAACGATTTTTTGGATGAAATTCATCATTCGATATAAGATGTGCAAATCAATAGAATGTTAAAGACAAGAATGTAAGTAGAAAAACGAATAAAGATTAGAAAATTGCGATGTAGTTAATGAAAAATGTGTTGTTGCTCAAAACTATTCCAACGTCTCTGTCTCTCACCGTAGGGAACATAAAATTGGAATTTAAACCTTTAGTTGCAAGAAACTCAACGAATCAACAACTCCTGAATGCATTACTTCCTGAATTAGTGGATTTCATTTCTGAAAGTGTGCTGGATTCTATCATGGATGGCGGTGCTGTGATGGCGGATTTCGGTTCCATTGGTGGCGGAGGAGAGATGATGGCTTGGTCAATCGAAGCAGGACAAATCCAACCATAAGCAATGTAGGCGATCGTCTAAGGCATCGCTTTGATGAAAGCCTGAAATTATAATTGATTAGTTGAAGAAAAATGAAAATTATAATTATGAAAATTTTAAAATTAAAATTATCATATACAAACACAAGAAACTAATAAAATTTGAAAATATAAACATCTCTCAAAAAATCATATAAATGACAGAAAACTTATCACATATATTTATGTCACAACCATTAATTTCTCTATATATAATTAATTTGACCATTTATTTTTCCCAACCATCATGTTCTTTTTCTTATCAAGAAATAAACGGTCAATTTTCTTTCTTCAAAATTTACGGCCACTAATTTTTCTAATGCTCTCATGGTGGGTTTTGCACTTATTCAAGGAGCTACTTTTAAAGGCATTGGTGTTCATTTCTCTATCTAGATTCTTGCATTTCGTTTTTATTCACGTGAAACCTGCAAGCATATAAGATTGTTGTACAAATAATAAGATTTGTGAGTTAAGAGTATCGTTTCCACGAGAAATAAAATCTAATTTTTAATTCAATAGCTGCTATTAAAATTCAAAGCATGGTGACAGCAAAAGAGTGATTTTGTTGTTGCTTATACTACTTCTAACCTATACTAATAAAACAAGTAAATTTTTGGTTTTATTGAATGTGAATGCTTGTATTGGATTCATGATTCTACCTATTTCCATCTATTTCAACTATCAATTAATAATCTAGTTAATTTCATGTATTTTTGACAACTGATAATGCTAATATGTTAAATGATTTCCAAGATACATCAACCTATGATTAACACGACCCGATCCTATTTCTAGTTTGAATTCATATGAAAATCACGCATTTAGGTTAAGTTATCTACATGACTGCGCATTCCATAGATATTATTCCTAATACCTATTTTCCATGTGTTGATTTTATAGTGTTATAAACTTATTGTGAGTATTCTTACACTACAACAAGTACTAACAATACAATTGATGACCAAACAATTAAACAGTGCAATATAATTACAAAATCAATCAAAAAATAGCAAGAAATATGAAATAAACAAAAATAGGGTTCCTCAATCATCTAATAGAATTGAAAAACTAGCCTAACATTTTTAAGATTAAATTACAAAATAATAATTGAAAAATCACACCCAAAAAGAAGAAATAATGAAGAAATAAGAATTTTCCACGTTCTTGATGTGAATCAATTCGTCTTGATTCCATGTTATTAACCTTGTTCTTCGCCTCCAAAATACATAGAATATGCATTTTTTTAGGTCAAAAGGAGGTGCCCCACATTGTTGGATGGCTTATGGTATATACTCTATATAGAGTGCCAAAATATTGCATACAAAAATTTTCCAAAACAAAATAAGGAAACAATTTTTTTTTCCAGAATTGAACCATGCTTAAGCATGGTTCATTTGGTGTGTAAGCACAATATATGTTATTTTGTCTTAGGAGTGGATTTTTGAAACCTTGCGTAAGCAAGGCCTGCAAACCCATGTGTACGCATAGTACAATTTTCGGGGACAAATTTTACAATTTGTTCCCTGAACTTTCTCTTGTATGTTTTTTTGATCATTTTTCAAACTTCCTCATCCCATTGACTTCTCTTCGATTCTAATTGGCTTTCTCAAATCATCATTTTGTAATCCGACTCAACTTTTAAAGTATTGCATTTTAGTCTCCAAACTTTGTATTTGTTTTGATGTAACCATTTTCTCTCGTAATTTTGTTCCTTTTATCTTTCAATTGTATCCAATTAAATCCTTGACACCTTTAATCTTCATTTTGTTGCCGGTCTCATCTATGGATTGTTTGCAATTTAGTCCTTGACTTTTGAATTTTGACATTTTTCACTATTTTTGCATTCTTTTTTTTTTAATTCTTTATTAAACATTGAGCTTTACCTATTTGACACAATATAATATGAATTAGGCTATATTTCATTAGAAGAATTATAAAATATCATTATTTAAAGCCTCAAATAAGTGTATAAAATATACTTATCAATTTTATTGTCCATTTTTTCCTAGCTTTCCAGTGTCATTATATTGATTAATGTTTTAATTAAACTAATGCTTCTCTATGTGTTATGTATTCTGGTTTGGGATTTTTTTTGATCCACTTATTATTATCCTTTTCCTTTTTTTTTTATGTTAATACTGGAGTTTAAATCTTATATTTTGTCTCTCAATTTTCATGATTATGTTTAATTGTTTTTCAATTGTATTTAACTGTATTCTAAGTCAAAGTCAATAATTATTTTTTGTCATACAATTTATAGGATCCAATCTTTTCAACCACACATTTAATCAACTTTTATCAAAATTTGTTAAAAAATTTGATTTTAATCTCTATCAAATAGGGCTTAATATTCATAGGGGCTACATATTTGAAATTAAGCGTGCGTTTTCTCCATGGTTAAAGAATGGTGTAGATATAAGAGACTAGTTAAGTGCCTTCTTGAAAGTCTTTGTTCGTTGGTTTTGACCGTATTTTTGGTGGAATCATTTACAAGGGATTGAAAAATTAAGACAATTCCGCTAGTTCACTAGATCACTCACAAACATTTGATTTCAACAAAATTCTAGGATGACATAAAAAGTATATTTTCGGACAATTCCTACAAGCACATATATCGTTGACAAATAATAGATTTAATCATTTAAGAGTTTTGTTCCATATGAAATAGGCCATAAATTGAATATTATTAACTCATTATCAAATTCGAATGTATGTAACAAAAGAAATAATTGTTTATTATTTTAAGTTAGCTACTAATTACCTAATGTGATTATAAACTAAATATGGAAGAATGTGTTGGAGATCTAAATGCACCTATATTTCTCTACTAATATTCGATTGAGACTATTCCTAGTAAATAGAAAATATAACTCAAAGACTTACAATTCATCTAGAAGTATCAATTTTTTTTTCCCAATTCGAACGTTTACTATGTAAAAAATGAGTCTCAATCCGAGGCTAAAAATTTGGTGTATAACTTGTTTGGGTAAATAATGATTTGTGAGAATATTTTGACTATATTCCATTCCTGTGACTTTTAATTGCATCTAATTGGTCCTATATGATCTTCAATCATCACTTTTCGGTTCAAATTAATTACTGAATACTTGCACTTTGTATTGGGGAAAATTGGGGAGGTTATTGACACAATATGAAGTATGTGATTGCACAAATGAGAACAAGATTAAAAGTAAAGAAAGTCATAGCAAACTTTAAAGGGAAATTAGCACAAAATGTCATTACCTTTCGATATTTTTGTGAAAAACGTTCCCCTACCTTTCGTTTTTTGGCAGATTACACCCTCATCTTTACTTTTTTTTGCACAAAACGTCCTTCTATTAACTCCCCATTAAAATGCTCCGTTAAATCAAAAGACAATTAGCACAAAAGGTCCCTACCTTTTAATATTATTGTGCAAAATGTCCCTACCTTTTATTTTTTGGCATAATTAGCACAAAAGGTCCCTATCTTTCAATATTATTGTACAAAACGTTCATATCTTTCTTTTTTTAGCATTTTTACCCTTACCTTTCACCTTTCATTGCGCAAAAGGTCCTTCTCATCCATTTTTTCAATAAAATGACGATTTTACCCTCCTATTCAAATATATATATATATATATATAAAGATGAATTACCAACTGCAACCGTAGTCTTTAAGTTTTTTAAAAAATTACAAAGAAATCATAAATTTTCAATCACCACCACTTTCACAATCTATCAAGCTGCTAACTATAAATCCACATAACACCACCTTTCAGCCACCATGCCCACCAGACTTCACCACCGTCAATGTGGTTGTTTCGGACATATTGGTGACCAATACTATGGAGAAGGATATTGGGGAGAGTGAGGCGAGGCTGGTGGTGGTGGAGTTCAATAGATGTTGTGGCCGAAAGGTGGTGCTATATGAATCTATAGGTGGTGGATTGGTGGGGTTGTGAAAGTGGCGGTAGTGAAGAATTTAAGATTTATCTGTAAGTTTTGAAAGATTTAAGACTATGATTGTAATTAATTAATTTTTTTTGTTTTATTTGAATAGGAGGGTAAAATCGTCATTTTATTGAAAAAATTTGATGAAAATGACCTTTTGCACAATGAAAGGTGAAAGGTAGGGATGTTTTGTAAAATAACATTGAAAGGTAGGGACCTTTTGTGCTAATTATCTTTTGATTTTACAGAACATTTTAATGGAGAGTTGACAGAAGGACGCTTTTCGCAAAAAAAGGTAAAGGTGAGAGTGTAATTCGTCAAAAAATGAAAGGTATGGACGTTTTGAGTTAATTACCCAACTTTAAAAATACCATAAAGATGAAAATAATATAAAAAATAATGTGAAATAAATAAAATAATATTTTTCCAACAAAATCACGTGAAATAAAGGAAACAATATTTTTCAATAAAATCACGTGAAAATAAGGAAATAATATTTTTCAAAAAATAAATCTAATTTGGGTCACAAAATCTTACAATCTTACCTTAACCCAAATTTTGGTACAACGAACCAAATTCCAAAATTTCTCTACTTGGAAAATTAAGTTCAACTAGTACGAAATAAATTGATATCTTCATTCAGAACAAAAATCCTACACCTCATGAAAAACACTCTACCTTTTCTATAGTATTCAAAAATGATATCTAAACCCAACCACGAGTTCCCAAAATTCGACAAGGAATTAAAAAATTACCAAACAGGGTCGAAACACACCCTGTAGCAAAATCTACACTGAATAATTTGACTGAAGACTTTTTGCTAGACTTAACACCTTCAAACTCTTGAAAAGCATGAATACCAACACCTGCAACACCGTACATATTCTCTATTAGTCCTTCACTAGTGAATGAACATAATGGAACCGCGAACAATGGTGGCAAAGCGGACTTAGCCATATTATCCACACTCTTCTAAGTAGTGTTCTTCAATGACTCAGAGCCAAACTAGAAAGGTGTTGTACCAAACTGTATATCCATCATGGTATTGAACCTATCCAAATGTTTCTTCACTGACTCTGCACCCCTTGCAAGATGTATAATTGAGATTTTTTCGACCCTCTAGTACAACTCGGACACCCTTTCAAACTTTCAAAACTCCATCTCTACCGAAGAACGTGTGCCCATTCGAATTCAGGGTACTTAGCGGATGAGATTCTTCCTTAAGTTTGTGACATGTCGGACCTAGCCAAGTGTTCTTACTGTCCTATCTAACAACTTTAATATGACCTGTCCAATTGTAGCTACCCTACAAAATTTGTTGTTTCCCATGATAATGGCACATTTCTTCTCAGTTTCATATGTTTCAAACCAGACCTATTGGGACATTTATGGAACGAACACACTGAATCCAAAATCCACTCCTTATCAGGCTTGGATTCCGTGTCAGATACAGTCAACATAACATCTCCACCACACGAAAAGTCCTCAACAATGTTTGTCTTGTTCAAATAATCTGACCGCTTTCCATGATTTGCAGTTAAATGATCTTTATCTTGCAACTTGTTGCAATCCTTTTTTTATATATCCTTTCCTTCTATAATAGAAGTAGACTTGATTTCCAAAGTTCACCTTCGACTTACCCCTTCGTCGGTCACCATGAGTAGCCAAAGCTTCCTCATCTCTATATCTAGCTCCAGCGAGATGCTTCATCTTTTCCTTTGAGAATAAAACATTATAAACATCGTCAATGGTGAGTATGTCATGACTGTATAGAATCGTTTCCTTGAATGACGAATAAGAAGCGGGTAGTGAGCACAACAGGGTTAAGGCTAAGCCCTCTTCATCATACTTTGCCTCTAACATTTTCAAATCAGTGACAATTTTCTTGAACACGGCCATATGGTCCTCCAAAGATTCTCCTTTTGTCATGCGGTGAGAATATATCTCTACTTTCGATGCAACTTGCATGTCAAATTCTTTGTCATGCAAAGTTGCTTCAATTTTAATCATAATGCAGCGGTTGTCTTCTCCTTCAATACGACTTGAAGAATGTTGTTAGAAAGATGAAGTTATATCTGCAAAAGAGCCTTTCGACCCATTCGTTGCTTTTCCTCTGTTGTCCAAGTTGTAGGCATCTTATCAAACCCTAACAACACATCATCTAAGTCCATCTGCCCCAACACCGCTCTCATCTTTACTTGCTACAATGAAAACCTTGTATTGTGATCTGAAAGCGGAATATCATACTTTATGGCTATCGTTGCTAATAGAAACCTCAAACAAAAACTCTCAATTGTAGATCTGATACCATTTTTTAGGAAAATCGTGGAGGTTTTTGACACAACATGAAGTATATGATTGCACAAATAAGAACAAGATTAAAAGTAAAGAAAGAAATTAGCAGAGGAACAGAGCATTTCATTGACAACTAATAGGAAAGAGTAATATAACTTCAGGATTAATACTTATCCTAAACTAAATAGAAGAGTTACATATTTATAGGAGCATATCAAATCCTAAAAATACCATAAAGATGGAAGTAATATAAAAAATAATATGGAATAAATGAAATAATATTTTTCCAACAAAATCACGTGAAATAAATGAAACAATATTTCTCAATAAAATCATGTGAAAATAAGGAAATAATATTTTTCAAAAAATAAAACCTAATTTGGGTCACAGAATTTAACACTTTGGTCCCCAAATTTTGATTTTTTTTTTTCCATTTTAGTCATTTTTCATTTCTTTCTTCCAATTTCACTTCAATCATTAATTTGCACATAACAAACGATAAATACACGAGATTAGGCTATAACTCATCAAATGTAATACAAAATATCCCAATTTAATACACTAGATGAGTGTACAAAATATACTTATCAATGTGCTTGAGAAAATTAGCCTGTTTCATATGTTTATTGACTTCAAGTAGCCAATAGTGAGATAAAAATAACTTATCCAAACATAATTTGGTCAAATGTTAATTAGAAGTAGTATATATTAACATGCAAGCTTAGCCAAACATGCTCTAAGCTGCTCTGGTCATTTGTACCAGCATATATCCATATTCATATTATCAAGAAGTTAGACAAAATTTATAGGCCTGAGCACAAGAAGATAGAAAAAATTCCAAATTAGAGCAGAAAGAAAGTCTTTCAATGCTACCTTAATTGCTTATGCTTTGTCAAAGCTTTCGATGTCACAATCGGGCTCCCCAAAGTTTAACTGAGCTCTACCAAGGGTTGATCCATGTCTACCGTGACTGAGGTATGAACAAAATTGAGGAGTTAAACTTTCGAAAATGGTATCCATCTGATACTTACATTACAAACTGCACTATATTTAGTCAACCTCATCCATGACTACGGCCAAGGACTAAATGAAAATGTACGTAAAATTGAACTATAGATGGTAGAAAAGCCGGATCCTGACTGAAGTTATTTACTTATAGTAATAATTACTCAAGTTTCTAATTATTATACTAATGTCACTCGGTAAAAAAAAAATATTAAACCCTACGTGTCACCGTTAAGTGCCAATGTGTCACCAAGCAGAAGTCGGCAAAAAAATAAAACAAATAATGGGTTTACCATATGATTTAAGCCCAAAACTCTAAACAAAACCAAAGTCTCTGTACACTTTCTCAATTTTGCTAATTTGATGTAAAATATAACGTCATTTGGTAACACGTTGGCACTTAATAGTGCCATGTAGGAATTAATTTTAATTTTAATTTTTTTACCCAGTGACTATTAGTATAACAATTAGAAACTTGAGTGATTATTGCCCTAAGAAAATAACTTTAGTGACCATTGGCATAATTACTTAAAACTTCAATGACCATTGGCGATCAGAATATAACATAACTCAGCCCATGTAGGATGCAGCTCAGTAGCTCCCGTAAAAAACAAAGCAATATTGCAATTTTAAAACTCAAATAATTAAAGTGAAATAGCAAGTTCCCTCGACAAGATTGCAAGATTCAATGAAAAAGTCAATGAATACCTTCTTGGACGGGGAACTTGGAGAGAATGTATATTGTACAATGGAAAAACAGAAGAAGAAATAACAAAAACACTGAAACAAAATAGGGACGCCCGAATTTCAGTATTCAAAGCATGCCATGATTCTCCAAGTTCAAGTAAAACTTGAGTTTTCAGACGTGTAAAAAAGCTCGCTCAATCATCAATATAATCGCATTCTCTTGTTGACCTCAACTTCTGCATGAATTGCTTGATCAATAGATTTCAACTTTGCTCATGTCAACATAGCTAAGCTCCTGCACACTTGGACAACCCATAAGGAACGCATGACCTTCTCCGAAGGTTGGGATGCGACCACGTGCATTTCGATGGTCAAGTCATTCTTTTTGTATGGATGTGTTTAGGTGTGGGGCGCGCTGAAAATGTGAGCCACAAAAGTGTTAGAATACCGAGGGTTTATGAGAAAGTAAACGTGAGAGAGAGAGAAAGCAACCTTACAGTTGGAAGGGTAAAACTTGAGCTATTTGTTCGTGTAATACAACTCACTCCGGCATCAATATAATTGCAGTCTCCCACTTTTCAAGTTATTCCCATCCGTCAGAAGAGATAAAGAATGAGATGGACGCAACAGTAACGTAGCTAAGTAATCACCTCGTAGATGGGCAAACAGAAGTGGTTTCATGTGAAAACTAGAAACAAGTTGTATCTATTTGAATACCAGTCCTTAGAATAATCAATGCAAATCATTTAGCAATAATACCAGTCCTTAGAATAATACAATGCAAATCATTTAGCAAATGTTGCAAATAAGAAGTGAAGAAATATTTAAAACAAGCCTAATCTGTATTTCTTTCAGAAATTCCACCAATTTGAAACAAACAAGTTTTAAAATTGTCACTTCCCCTAATTGAAAGTATTTCAGAAATTCCACCAATAAATATTTAATGTTCTGCCCACGTTCTGTATTTATAGGGCCTGAAAATAAGTTGCAATCGCTTCCAAAAATGATAGAATTCAGAGTTTGAGTAAAAGACAGACATTGTCATCACTGGAAAGGTGGTCGAGTTCCTTATTGGTGGACATTGAGTACCCATGTTCTCAAAAATGCACTAGAGCGCCATTCTTGGCGGACATCAAGTTCCGTCTGAGCAACCATCAATATTGTTGTCATACATTTTTTTTTCTCGATATTCGATTGAGAGGATTAAAGTGAACTAATAATCTAGTTCATAGGGATAAAATTCTTTTAGAAATATCATTTTTTCAATTCGAATATTTTTTATGCGAAAAATGAGTCTCAATTTGTGGCTGAGAATCTGAAGCAGCTTGTGCGATTGAAAATTCATTTGTAAAAATACTTTGACATTCAATCATCATTTTTGTCCGAAACAACTATTGAATATTTGTAATTTGGTCCCAAACTTTGAATTTCTTCACTTTTTTACCTGTTCTCGTTCCTTCTGATCAAATTCCATCCAAATTGCATATTACCTATGACAATCAACATTTAAACGAATCAAGTAGTATTTTATTCAAATAGGCTCTCGAATATTCATTTTTGATGGCCAAAGAAATTACACCTGTCAATTACACTAATTTAATGGTTGATCATGATATGTTTTCTTAGATCTATGTGTGGATAAAACTAGTTATTTCATTGTTTGAATAGTATTAAGTGTGATTATATTCACACCACATTTTTTTTATATATGGAGACCACATTTTAATTATATTAAAAGTCAATAACCTATATTCATTCATATCTTACTTTATTTTTATTATATCTTTAATGTTTTATTACTAGCAAATATTCTCCTTAATCATAGTTTCGTCTGGAAAATACCTTAATCATGCGTGAAAACGAAGGATAAATTTTTTTTTCCTTAATTTTGTTTTTTTATTTAAAAATATGTGGGGCAAATAAATCTTTTTACTATATCTTAACGAAGTTTTTTTGGTAAAAACAATCTT